CTGAAAATTAAAAATCTACTTTATTCTAAAAAAGCAAATCCAGAAGATTGTTAATCAAGACAAAATTCAGGTTTGCACTGAACCTTGCTTAGCTGACATTCAGATGAAAACCTTTGTATTTCATTAGGTAAATGGCATTTGGTATCAATAACAAAACAGTGGAATCAAGGTAAATAACATATTCATGCTGCAGTTTGAATGTAAGGGACACTTTCACCATCTCTTTCAGATTAAGAGTGAATGGTGACATTTTTCTTTCTGCTGTGTGTTCCAGAGGGCTTTCAGCTTTCATAATCCCACTTCTCAATCTTCAGTTGCTCTTGGTTAGCAGATATAACTCTTACTTTCAGCTCTGATAGTTCTTACATCAGCATAGGCTAGTTCAGTTGCTCGATTTTTCAATGCATTTTCAACTTTACCTTATTCTTTATTGCCATTCTGTTGATTTTTCTTTTTTCTCCTAGTTGTAGAAATTTCCTTCATTTTCTAGAAGATGATCTATCATTCCCAATCCATATATATATATATATATATATTTTTTTTTTTTTCCCAAGGGAAGAAGAATGCATTTTATACGGCACCAAAAATTGATTGTAAATTACAAAGACATTTCAGATCTATCCTGTAGCAGCTATAAAAACAATGGCCTGATTTTGGCTGTAAATTTCATTGACATTTTTGCAAATAAGTATACCTAGACTAATGTACTCATTGAAATGTCAATATCACAAGGAATTTGGAAATATTATGTGCCATCATTTCCTGGAAGAATATTCTAGATTGTGGCATAATGAAGGGAGATGTAGGGTGGAAGAGTAAAACTGTTTGTTGTTCTGATTCAAGTGGTTTTTTGATGGTATATTGAGTAATTAGGCTGTTTGAGATGAGTATGTTATATTCATATTAGTTACAATATATACATTCTCACTAAGCTTACAGAAGTTGGAAGAGACAAAATATCCTATGCTTGATTTGCTTTATATATATTCCTCTTGTGTTTTTTTTTTTTTTTCTGGACTTTGACAAAGCAGAATCTGGCTGATATTAAGTATAATACTTTAAAGGAATTAAAATATAAGATCCTGATAGGCACCTGCTTTTTACATGTTTTCCTGTTATTCAGTTGTTTGGTATTTTTCCAATTTTGATTTGCAGTTTTGTTCATATAATTGAACATAATTCTTGTTTTAAACTATACTTTTGTTGTGAAAAGTCATATCAGGATTCATGATGTTACTAGAACCTTAATTTTACTCTTATAACATCAGATTCTTTTTATAATTCATGTTGTGTGTAAAGAGACTCTGGCCTGCTCTTGCCATAGCAACCACATCTTTTGTTTTTACTAAAAGCAAAAAGAAAAAACACTTGAAATGATAAGGCTTAATTATTAATTTTGGGGAAGTTGTCCTTTGATTTACCATTGTTATATCCTTCAGAAGGGAAAATGTTGATTAGAAAATCTCTTGCTGGTACCAAATTATCTATTACAACGTGTCTCTTAAGCACTACTGTGAGAGGGAAAAGACAGAAATTAAGGCCTCATTCTAAAAAAGCATTCAAGGGTACAAAAGATAAATTATGCTTTTGATTTATCCCTTCAGTTCCCAGTTACCCACAATGGAATACGTGAAGTGTCACCAGATTTATAGATATGTAGATTATTACAGCTTTGGCTCCTGCTGCAGAATTCCTTATTAATGGTACCACCTGACATACATTAAAAAGATTATTTCAAGTTTTTTGGTGGTGCAGAACCATCTAGATCTCAACTTCTACATTTGGAGTATTAGGCCATATGTGCTTCTCCTCTGTCTCACCAACAGTTTGTCTCTGTCTCTGCACATCAGCTGTATCCTTGGCTACCCCACGTTTGCCTCTTGCGTCATCTTTGTGCCTCTTGCAGTTCCATCAGGCTTTCCCTTCCTTTCTTGGTGCCCATAATGATGTTTTTCCTTGATAGTGAAGAGCAGAAGTACCATCATTTTGTTTGTAGATGTAACCTCTAGACAGGCTTGAACCACAATTGCGAAGGCTGTCTGCATTGTGGCAACACCTCATTTCCCTTTCTACGCCTTTTCCATAGACATTATGTCTTCAGGCATGACTACAAGTACTTTTGCTTTGCTCTTGCTATTAGTAATCACTAATATTTAATAATTCATGCAATAATGATCTAAAGTGGGACTGGTTTTGCTTTGTAGTAGTCCCTTTTTGCCTTGCGCTCACTGACGGACTTACAAAGCAAAATTCTTCTCTCTTGATTTGAAGTCGTCTGAGCTGCTACTACCATGAACACATGAAATTAGTCTATGTGTGTGAAATACCCAGCTTCTTTCTCACAGTGCAAATGCTTTTTGGAGATGGAAATATCCATGCAATTTGAAGCATCAAAATAGCAGCTTTGACAGATTAATAAAATACTGAATTAGGGAAGTCTTCCCAATCTCTAAGTAGTTTTTGTTCTCCCTCACTTACAAGTTTGTGGAGTGAAATCAGGACTGAGACACAGTGCTGAAAACTCTCCTGAAAAAAACCTAATTCCTTGCAGTAGGAATCTTTCAGTGTCTCACATTTTGAAATTTCTTTAGGCTGGAGTCCTACACTCACTTATGATTTGAAGTTAAATCAATGGACAGTAGGATCCTACAATAATTATAATATCTGTATATGTTATTAATGAAGTTTCCTACTTCCTTATCTCATATTTAAGAGATGTACTCTATTCTTATGTGAATAGAGGTTACATTGCTAAAAATATATTGGAAGCTGATGAATACCCAATATATATTGCATGAATGAATGGGCTGCTATTTTACGTAACATTGAATTAACACTTAGTCTGTTAACATGCACGGGCTTTAAACATTTGCAAGAACAACTGTGATTTGCCAACATATTTTTAATTGATTATGCCCCAAAATTATATTTATTAATATTTGGATTTATGTATTATTTATTAATACAATTAAAACTCAGATTTGATTTCTTAATTTTTGCTTGCATTTAAATCTAGAGATATTTTCTGCTTATGTTAACAATATCAATAGGTGTTAGGTAACTAAAAGAAAAGGCATGCTAAACATTTTTTTATTAAGTTTAAGTGTCACTGTAGAGTTGTTGGTGTCTTTCAAGGTCAGTGCTCTCCCCCATTATCCCATAACTACCTAGGTAGGTATCAGTTTCCTCATATATGTCAGAAAGATGCTTGATAATCTGTGCATTTGGGGGACATCCAGGTGTAGGAATTTGCCTTCACAGATCTATTTCCTGAGGTTTAATATGTACTTCTTATTGGCAGTGAGCTGTAAATATGCAGTTCATGGAATCTGTGTCTCTAAATTTACTACATTAAAGGACTTAAAATTGACAAATTTAAAAGCATTTTCTGTCAAATATCTATGTTAATAGATATCCATGCTCCAAAAGTAATACCACAAATAGTTTAGGATTGCATTAATGAGAAACCAGGTAGACATTTAATTTCAAATGCAGTTTTAGAGATCCTGGTGTGTCAAACCAAACTTCTTACTACTCTTGAGTATTTCTAAGAATTTTTTAATTGCTTTTTTGACCCATTATTGATTTGATTTTCATCTTACTCTATAGTAGCACAAATCAAGTTCAAATTCAATGACATTGAGTTATAGCAGTTCCACTGATCCAGAATTCATTTGCAGTCTGGCACGGGGACTATGATTTTAAAGCCCAATAAAGTAAGTTTTAACAGCGCAAAGAGTGCTTGTGTTGGAGATCATCACAGTAGCTCCGAGCAAGGTAATATCCCCACTATACTGAAACACCTTGTGGAGATATTATTCCAGGTCTCAAAAACCATATTCATATGTTAGCAGAGATGTGCTTGGGCTAATTAGCCTTGATTTTCAGCAGGGCGGGTTAGCTTGCCTGGCTTAGCTAGCACACAGCTAATGGAGCTGTGCTGCTCCGACTTCCACGGGCTTATTTTTGGTACCTCTGGGACCTCTTCAGTGAACATTGCGTTTTGTACAGCTGTACTCTGAGGACTTGTATGACTGAGCTACATTCCCAGTCAACCTATTTAGAAGAGCTAATGGTGTTTTTTGTTAATCTATATCACCTTTGTTCTAATATTAATGTATAGTATGTTTTTAATAGTACATTTATGTTCTTTTAATACATATTAAACGTACAGTGATTTGTAGGAACTTCTATAAAATTAATTTAAACACAATACTTAGCAAGTATTTAGGATCCTTTTGTCATTGTAATTCGTCTCCAGTTGGTTACTAGTAAAAACGTACATTGTTGTTCCACAGTCTTTTGTCACAGTCCTTGATAAATTAATATCAAGCTAATTAAAACTACAGATCAAAGCTTGTTCTCCTATTGGTAAATCGTTCTCTTCCCATTGTCGGTGTCTTCTACTGAGAAAAATCATTGAAGTGTTTCAAAAAGCATCTACATTGTGTATCACACCAATGGGATATTCAAGCGTTTGCTGGGTACTCAAACTGTTAAATCATATTACTCGACCTACATTACAAATCTCTGGAGCTAGCCACTAAATAAAATAGCATGTTTCCTTAGGAAGTAGAAAACATAGGAGATAACAAAATATGTATTATTAAAATGCAGTTTCAGTGTGGGTTCAGTTTTACAATGGGTTCAGCACTTGATTTGAACAGGCAAGACAAATTTATTTGGTCTTAGTATGACCATGCATTTATGCTTGGTAAAAGCAACAATGAGAAAACTGAAAATGGAAAGAATTATGTGAGGGCTAAGGAAACTTGCGACAAAAATAAATCTTGGAAGAGGTTGCAAAGACTGATCAGGGAGAGTTGCATTTAAAGGTTACTCTGTGCCCTGTTTTGGGGTACCAGCATTTGAGTTACTGTACAACGCTTGCTTTTACCAACATGATATTCAATTATTACTGAGCACGTTACATAACTAATCTTGGTATTTAGATGAGATGAGAACAAAGTCTAATGCTTCCTATGTCTCTCTCTATTTAGTTTTAAGCATTGGTGAAGGTGGATTCTGGGAAGGCAGCACCCGGGGACATATTGGATGGTTTCCTGCAGAATGCGTTGAAGAAGTTCAGTGTAAACCAAATGAAAGCAAACCAGGTAATCAGATCAAGTTGCTGTTGATTCCTAATAAAGACAAATGTGATGTGTCTGTCCAAGCAGAGAGGCAGCCTAGACAGTAATGTGTTATACAGCAGCGTGTTTTTGCAATACTAGAAACTGGAGAATTAAATAAAGCTGAGCTGCTGAATTAAAAAACAAAGATGGGTTTATTGATCATGTACTGGATGCTGTCCAAGCAAACAGTCTTTCTCATGAGGGACTGTGCTGTGAGTTACCGTGAAACGGTTTACACAGAACTGTGTATAGACATTTTGTAAAGCATTATGGTGCATTTTATTTTCTTACAGTATGGGAGAATGGCTAATTAGATATTTGAATAATGGAAGAAATACTGGTCAATCATCTCCCAATCTGAGGTAGTCAAACAATGTATTTAGCTCTTGTTCATAGCAATAAAATTCCCTCTGTTGACCTTTTACTAAGTTTTAGAGGAGACATCTGTTAGTGGGATGTCTCATATACGTCCTTACTGATGACAAGGGAAATAGATTCCTCCTCTGTCACACACTTGTGCTGCCATAAGTAAGTAAAACACAAGTGACTTTAAGCAAGGAGTCTTTACAGTTCTGGTATAATAAAAGAAAAAGAAATGTATGTTGAAGCATGTTATTTTAAGAATAACCTACCATCTCATGATTTCTCTGCTTTTCAGAATTATGATATGAGGACATCCTCTCTAATTAAAAGCTCATTATAAATGAGCTCTGAGAATATAATTAATGTTCTCCAAGACTGTATGCAGTTTTAAATTAACTATTGAAATGTTTTGGATTTCTGATGTATTGATTAAGAAATTTTGACATTGCACAGAAAATACACTAAGATTTCTGCATTGTATCATTCATTCACAAACATTATTCTTTTATATATGTCATTATAAACTGCATGGGAATACTTTTCTTTTTATATATATATATATATATATCCACTGTACAGACATGATAGAATGGAATAGAATGCACTGGACAAGATAATAGTTCCAGAGTAGTAAGGATTTGGAAATATTTATAAGATTTGATAATTATATTAATTTCATCAGTTATAATGGAAGCTGTGGTAAGATGAAATAGAGTTTAAGGGATGAGCAGGAAAGGAGACAAAAAGTTAGTTTTAGTAATATGAAAACTTTAAAAGAATGAGGGAACGAGGCATCAGGGACACTGCTCCAGATAACTAAACACTGTGTGAAAAGGTTAGACTTCCTTTTCTGTTTCCCTTTTGACAGAGAAAAAGAGAAGACAAAACCAGGTCTAATATTTGGAGAGAATGGATTTAGGCTCTGAGAACAGAGAGAGAATAGTTGTGTAGCTCTTCAAAGGGCTTAAGAACAAATCAGAATTTGAAGATGGAGGAATATTAAACAAGAGGAAAATTGAGGTTGGAATTGGCAAATCTACGAGCAGTGTAGTTCTCAAATACTAGATGTGGAAAGATAATAACAAGTTGCAATTCTAGTGTCACTTCATTTGTTGGAAACATTATGGAAGAGGAATAAATTCAGTCAGCGTGGAACATGAGCTGGTGAAAAGCCATGTGTGAACTGTTCTGAAGATCCTTCAGTAAAACCTTGTGGTCACTTCACTGAAAGACTTCAGAAAGATTTAGTCTATATAAGTCATCACTGACACCTTTCTTGAGTCTATCATGGCAGCTCTGCGTTAAAGTTGAGCTGTGCATTTGTCTCCAAATCTGATGAAAATTCTGGGGGCATTAAGTGAATTCTAAAATATGAAAGAAGTTTTGCACCTTCTTTAGATACATACAGCGGTTTTGGAGAGAGGGTAACTAAACCTCTTTGGCACAAATCCTTAAAGATATTTTCAGAAAATACTGTAGGAAGTAAATTCAATATATGACATGATTGTTTTAATAAATGACAAGATTGTTTTTGAGCAAAAATTTCTTTGATGATTCAAAGGAAAATTAAAATGAAGAAAAAAATTGTCACAAGAACAGCAAAAGGGATACCAAAGCTGGAAGTGTTAAAAGAATATTGATAGAAACATCTTACAAATTTTCTGATGTGAAATTATGAAAACTTGTGTCTGCCAAAACACCGGAGCATTTACGCTAATTTATACCTGTTGCATACTACTGTCTTTCTGATTGTTTTCCTGTTTGCTTATAGTGGAGTGTGAATAATAATGCCAACAGAGCTAGGGACTTTAAATATGCTATTCTTCTACTCCAAAAAAGATGAAAATGTAATTTAAATAAGCAGAAAATGGGCCTGTTTTCTATACCTTTGAACTTATGCACTCACATATTTTGCTGGACTGTCTTGAACCCTTGAACCCTTCTGCACCTAGAAGGCACAAATGAGGTACAGTACTTCTCTGTGTAATGTGATAGAGATTGGAACTCTGAGTCTGGAATATATGAAATCCACAGTATGTGCCATATTATTATTGAAATATGGTGTGGACTGAAAGCAGCTGATCACTGAATTGCTCGATGCAGTTTAGCTTCATTCCCTTTGCATAGGAAACAATGGAAATGAAAGAGGAGAGCTTTATAAGCAAAAATCAGCCAGTACTCGCTCTGAATACAAATGCAAAAGTAATTGAGAGAAATACGTTAAGAATAGTGAAATGATTAGAAATTAAATTAGGTCTGCTGGGATTGCTGAAGGAACATCAGCTGAGAAACATCACAAACTTGTGTGAGTTTGCAAGACTTTGCAAAGCAGCAGAACTTCTTATGATAATGATTTAGAAAGTAGATCATAATGTGTAAGATATGAATCGCAAACGAAGCCTTTTTCAGACCAGCACCACAGTAACAATTCTTTCCTATAAATGAGATTTAGGAACATTTCTTCAAACAGCTTCCCTTTGCTTTTAAGTTTGAATAATTGTGTTTAATAGTAGCTTGTCATTTGCACACCATGAAGGAAAGAAAGAGAAATAGTTCTTGGAAAAAACAAACCACAATTAAACACTACATGCCCAGTAAAACTGGTGGGCAGGTGTTTCATGTCATGCTGATGTATAATCTCACTTCTAAGACGAGTTCAATTTTCAACTTCGTTGCCATCCAGACCGTTCAGTGGAAGCAGGTAGTACAGAACAGCACCTGGTTCCTGTGATCTCTTCAAAGATACCATGCTAGCTTGGCAAGTTCTGTTTTCCAAAAAAAAATCATGTTGACTGGCATTAATTCTATATCACTTCTTTAATCCTTCATTAATTGAGACTTGTAGGAATTATTCCATTATTTTACTAGGATTGATGCCAGGCTTCTAGGCTGTTAATTATCCAGGTTGTCTCATTTGCCCTTTAGTAGCACTGGCACAGGACCTGCTGCCTTTCAGTCTTAAGAAGTTTCCTTGACATTTTGAGATCTAATGAAAAAAGAATAATGACAAAGAAAATCGTTATCAGTGGTCTGCTAAGTTCTTTTGCCTGCTTGGTCCTTTGTACCATCTAATTTTTAAAAATGTCACCTTAGTAGTCAGTTTTTAACATTCTCCAGAATCATTCTTAGAGTGAGAGTATTCCTTCAGATGAAACTGATGCAACATCTTGCTTTTTCCCTGTACAAACACAGAATACAAATGTTACGTATTTCCTCTTTCTCCATTTCAGTAATGAACCAATTCCATTCCTAAATTTCTTTGTATTCTTAAATATTTGAAAATATACTGTGTTTTTTTGCTGAAATATTCTGTGTAGATTGAAGAGTGTTCTGTGCAGGAGAGGCTTGATTCCTCTGAAATGCAAGTTAACTGAAATCTGTGCAAATGTGAGGCACTGCCTTGGGTTAATAGACGTCTTAACAGGATTTGTTAGCTAAGTGCTGTTGGTTCTGCAGAGAATCACAGGTCAGCTTGGATCTGTGGCAGCAGTAGTTTGCATCCACTGAGAATACACTGTGTGACAGCTTTGTTTAATTTTTCTGCCTATAAAAAAAGCAAGGCTTTTCATTTTACCAGTTTATCCACCCCTTAAAAATTCATTACCCTTCTTAAAATAGTAAGAATTCCTACCTAATACCTTCCAATAGGAAATTAAGTACAGAAGAATCTGTTGTCCATAAAATCAGCTGCCCCACCAATGGAGGATACAGTTTTCTTCTTCCTACTTAAGTTTAGATTTTTCAATTTGCTTTTCTTCCATCATATTACTCCGATTTGAGAGATTTACTACAAAAATGCTTTTTATTAGACTTGTGATTTTATACTCTATGTCCTTCAGGATTCAGAAATATAGATTATCTGATTGCTCATGACTGACGTGAAGTATTCATTTTGTTTTCAAGCTAGCAGTTATCTTTAATTACATTTTCTCTTTTCCATTCGTTATTCCTTCCTCCCTACTGATGTGCCTGAAGAACTCTTAGATTTTACAAGTGATACTGAGATGATGGCAGATTCAGCATGTCTTAATAATTCTTGCTGTCTTTCAACTCTTGGCCTCCTCAGTGTCCCTTCCTTGAGTTCCATGCTCATCTTCAATATCCTCTTGGGGTGATTTTTCATTCAGTAGCATCCTCCATGCATTTTTCCATCCTGTAGCCTTGGGATACACCTTAGTAGTAGTCACAGTTGCTATATGAGCACTGGGAGTTTGTTTCAGACTAGATCTAATCAGGGCACGTGGATTGAACCACTATTAGCAGTTGTTCAAGCACTCAATTTTCCATGAAAGAATCCAGTTTCTGAACTCAGTCTGCTCAGTCCTGTGGGCTGCAGCAGAGTAGGCAGCACTTAAAGCACATTCCTGGCCCAGACTAAAATGCTAATGTCGATGCGCCCATGCTGACCTCTAGTGTCACTGGTGCTCTGAGCAGCCACTACCCAGCATCTAAGCTGGGATTTCTCTCCCAAAATATCTGTACTTAAACATTCAGGATAGCTTACTCATGAATTTCCAGCAACTTGAAAATATAATAACAGATTATCCAATATAGTATACTTCCCTTGCCCGTTTCTTTTTACCTACATAATCATACACAGATGTTATAAGCAGAAATTG